ACATTCGATGATTCAACAAAACAAATTCTTTCTATTCGGTCTAGTGAATTGGGACTTTTACTGATGTTTTTTCACTCCAAATAATTTTTTCAAAGGAAACAAAATGGGCCTTGTGAGATTACTATAAAGCCCAACACTCTCTATATTCAGGCCGAAGATATTTTGTTGCGCCTCATTTAATTTTTAAAATTCAAAGTCTTCTTCACTAAGCGGGCTTCTCCGACAAAATCCACTGTAGGGTTTTTCTCAAAATCATTGGAAAGATATTTCAATTCGATCTACGGATATGCTTCGTTGTTGAACAATTCTCAGATTTGATCCGTTTTTGGGGGGTTTTTGGTGGTGAATCGATTTTGTTCTCAAGATCTGAGATTTATTCGGCGAAGAGAGTGAGCTGGGGAGAGTATAGATGGCGATCTTATATGCGTTGGTGGCTCGTGGAACGGTGGTTTTATCAGAGTTTAGTGCTACTACGACCAACGCGAGCTCAATCGCGAAGCAGATTTTGGAGAAGTTGCCTGGAAACGACGATGATAGCCACGTGTCCTATTCTCAGGATCGGTACGTCTTCCATGTCAAGCGAACCGATGGTCTTACCGTTCTCTGTATGGCCGATGAAACCGCCGGAAGTAAGCTTTTTTTCTTTACTTGATTTGGCTCTTGTTTTGTGGGGTTTTCGATTTTTGGATCTGATCTTATCTTACTATCAATTTGGGTAGGCGAAAAATCTCAAATTTGGGGATTTCGAAGCTAAAATTCTGCTTTTTGGAGATGGGTCTTTGTCTGTGTTTGAGTTTTGCTTAGTTTTAGTGTTTCCAATTTGAAATTAACCATGAAGGAATTGTGGGTCTGTTAATGCCTAACCTTATGGGTTTGTTTCAGTTTAAAGGATTTTGATAAATTTCATAAAACTGATGTTATTTCTGGGAAGCATTTTGGTGATGTTTAAGATTTGTCATATGACTTGCTTCTTTTGTTTTTTCATGGTTTATGATTTTGAGCATCTTATGTTGAGCAGGGAACATTCCGTTTGCATTTCTGGATGATATTCATCAGAAATTTGTGAGAACGTACGGTCGTGCAATTCATTCAGCTCCAGCTTACTCCATGAATGATGAGTTTTCAAGAGTTGTGAGTCAACAAATGGAATTCTATTCGAATGATCCAAACGCAGACAGGATGAGCAGAATCAAAGGTGAAATGAGTCAGGTAATGTTTCAAAACTCTCTCTCTTTTTTCTGGTGTCACTTTATCGATGATTTGCTTGATGCTTGTTTATGCATTTGGCACTATTGATAGCTTTTGGTTATGTGTTTGTTTTCATTTTCAGGTTAGAAATGTGATGATTGAGAATATCGATAAAGTCTTGGATAGAGGGGAGCGTTTGGAGTTGTTGGTTGATAAAACCGCAAATATGCAAGGGAACACTTTTCGTTTCAGAAAGCAAGCTCGCCGATTCAGAAGCGTAATGTGGTGGAGAAATGTCAAGCTTACGTAAGTTTTCTTACCTAAATGCCTCCCTTTCAAGAAACCTAAGTACATAATAGACTTGATTAGATACAAATTAGCAGTTTCTTGTGGAAGTAATCATTTAATGCTTGTTGTTAGTTCTCTGCTCATGAGCTTGTTTTCCTGCAGGATTGCTCTGATACTTATACTCTCCCTGGTTGTATACATCGCAATGGCCTTTGTTTGCCACGGGCCAAGTCTTCCTTCATGTTTCAAGTAAGAAATACAATCTCTTTCTTTTTTGTATCTTTCCCTTCTCGGGAATTCATCAGATTCTGCTTCGATTTTGTTATATGTGATATGCGTGGAGTGAAAATGTATGTTTATGGGCTCTTTCAAGTATCAGCTCCTGTAATTGTGTTGAATTAGATAATGGATCGCTCTGTATTTGTGTGACATTTCACTGTTAATAGTCATCTCATTTCTGTTTTCAAAATATGGACTTTGGAATCAGCGTTTGGAAACGCAAATGGAGAAACGTCTCGTTTCTCTGTGCAGAG